GCAACGGACCACTTTCCTGAGGGCCTCTGTTGCAGTGCAAATGGAAAGTGTTCTCTACCGGGTTGTTCATGGGTCCAGGCATTGTGCAGTAGTGCCGTGTTCTCAGGCCAGAAATAGCGCAGGCCCCAAACAGCTCTACATCTGCTCAGAAACAGAGATAACTGTTGCATGAAAGGCTCATCTCCATGAGCCTTTATAGACCAAGAGGAGGGTGGAGTGTAGGACATAGGAAAATATAAAGCTCAAAAGTCAAATGGAGTGAAGATTTCATTGTGGGACCTAAATTGAAGTAATCTCAAAGAATAAACAAACTCGCTGTCATTGAGTTGATTCCAACTAATAGCAAGCCTACGAGACAGAGTAAAATGGGCCCTGTGAGTTTCTGAAACGATAAATCTTTATAGAAATAGAATGCCTCATTTTTTTCTCCCCTGGAGTGGCTGGTGGTTTTGAACTGCTGACCTTGTGGTTGGTAGCCATTACATAACCACTATGCCAACAGAATTCCTCCAGGGCTCCTAGTCAATTGAAATATTAAGTCTAAGATAATTAAAGCTATTCAGAGAAGATTAACTTTGGTATTTGTAAAAGTGCCATGAGGATAATGGAAACTGTCTTTAAATAGATTAATGCAGTACAGAGTTAGCATGATGCTTTTGATAACCAGTTAACAGCTCCCCCAGCCCCTGCCGCAGTCACCTACTTAAGGTATTATTGCAGATAAATCAAAGGCAGACGTATTTGCCGAAGAGGTCCATTTTCAGATCATGTTCTCTACCTTATTGCTTTTCAAAAAGTGAAATAATTTCAGCACTCGTGAAACAGAGAACATAATGTCTTCCCACAGAGTGTCTGCAAGAATAATATGCATTATATCCTATAATCGTTGTCAATAAAGTTGTGATAAGGATTCGAGTAGATAATATGTTATTCATCGGCGTGCTAGCATCCTTCCAGACACTAAGAATAAAGAGTGATGGCCCATCACGTTATTTGTTTAATGTTAACAGGAGCTCGAGTGGTGCAGGGCTGAAGGATTTGGCTAGGAGCTGTCCATAGTAAATTCCACGGGAGAAACACCTGGTGATTGTGCCTAGGAAATTTACAGTTGAAGACCTCTTAGGGAGGAGTTATATGCTGCTCCATGAAAAACCCACTCACCAGCTCCTTTGAACAATATCGCTCACGGTAAAGAGCTCTTCGGTTCTGCCTGCAGCGTTAGGATTAGAAGTGTGCGAATGACTTCAACTCTTCTGTGAAGCTTTAGACGTTGGCCTTAAAATGAAGCATTGTGCTCATTTGTGTGGTGGGAATAATCGATTTGCCACAGAACAACCTGTCAGGGGTGAAGGCAACATGAAATTAATTAATG